TTCTCTTAAAGGGACTTTTCATACTTAAGGGATATTTGTAGCTGGCGTATTTATACCTCTAGGTTGCTTGGGCATGCCAAAAGAAGTCGTAAGTTCATTATGCAGTTTTAACGTGCAAGGATTCTTGGCTAGTAGAATAATTTTTTTCCCTTTTGAAATTTCAGTGGTCACTCAGTGAAGCTGCCTAAAAAATTCATATGTTAAAAACATCGTGTTCTTTTATGTGATCTCAACCCATCTGTTTTGTATCTATGCTAGATATTCAGCATGTTTCATTCCTTATTTTTTCCCTAATGGCTGCTATAAAATAAAGGATTTGGTTAAGGGACAGTAAATAGTAATTGCATATGTATTGATTTTTAATGGATGATTAGTCATTGGTTATAGAATGTTTCTAGTTTTATCATCTCATCCTATGTCTATTTACTGATTTAAGCTAGTGCTTAAGATTTAGTCTTCAATCCAGCATTAATTAGGAACCATGAAGTTTCTTTGTCTTCTAAGTCTTAATTGAGTTTATTTACTTGTGATTTCATCAAAAAAGTGATCATATGAATAAAAGAAGTAGTTTATTTCCATTTGGTTATATCTTGTGGTAAACTGTTACTGTGATTGAGGCTCATATTTAATCTTGTCAGATTATACAAAGTGAAGTTTGTTTTAGTAAACTGTTTAAACATTCAAGTAAACAAAAAGCTTGAATTGATTTTGAGCTAATCATTATCACAGCTCATTTTATAAACTTTTAGGTTGAAAAGCTTTCTGAATTTTAGGAGCTATGGTTGGGTCTCTGCCATTACAAAATACTGCTTTTGTAAAATGCCTCAAGTTTACAAGGCCTGTTTTAAATCATTAAAACTAAATGTTTAAGAACAGATGTTACTACATGTTAGAAGTAAAAAAGTCTGCTTTTTAGGTTTTAATTACGGTAGCATTAGAAGGATTTTGAATTGGCATGCAACATTTCTAGTAAAACAAAAGAGTGTATTTTTGAAGACGTATTTAAAAATTAACATGTCATATGATTTTACAACTTTTGCCTGCCTTTCAGCAATTGGCATTGACAAGTTAAAAGTTTTATTTCTACTAGAGAAGTGAAAATCTCCAAGAGATTGAAGAGCTAGAAAGCTATTAACTATAATTTATATGAAATAAAATGTAACTACATGAATGTGTCTCCAAGATGACACCCTTGTTTGTGCATCCTTTGAGTCCATTTGTCCATCCAGAAAGCATGTGCGTCTCATCTAGCATAATGTCACCCGTGGTTCTATATACTAGAGAAACAAGGTGGACAAGCAAAAATCCCTGCCCTCAAAGTACTAGTTTAGTCGCCCAACAGATCCTTTATTAAGAGCTGATCTTCAGTTATGCATCACCTTATTTATGTGGATTCCTGTGACCCCTAACTTGCCTTACTTTCTATAATAGGGAAGATCAAATAATGGGATTATTAAAAACACCATTTTCCAACCAATATGCCATGACTAAAATACACTGAAGAGACTCTGGTATCTTAGATCTCCTTTTAGATTCCAGAAGGCTGCCAGGGTGAACAAGTGTGCAAGTATGAATGTGTGTGCACACGTGTGTGTGGAGATAACAGAAAGGTACCCCTATTCTAGTATACCTTGTCTAGTTCAGTATTCCTCAAACTGCAGAAGGTTGAGAAACATCAGTTACTTGCTTGAGACTCAAATTCTGAGCCAGGAGTCATGGAAAACTATAGTATGGACCTGACGAATTTAATGGCTACTATTTTCAACTGGCTATGTTGGATGTAAAAGAACTGTAACTCATCCCCGAATTTGAATAGAATGGACTCTGAATACTAGCCAGAATGGAAGAGATTGAAAATGCATTGACTTCCATTTCTGGGACAAGGTGGTTTAGACTCCCTTTTTCCTGCCCCTCCCCTATAAATACAATTATAAATGCCTTGGAAATTATTTAACTGACAGCAATAAAAGGACTCAGAACTGGAAAGAAGGTAGAGTAGCAGTACTTGAGGAATGACACTGTGGGGACTTAAGTGGGTTTTCTTTACTTCCCATTTACTCCTGGACTGGGTGCTGGAGAGACCTACTACTCAGATTCACCAAAGGGCATAGAAAACAAAAACAAAAGCCTGTTTTCTCTAGCCCCTTTCCCCAGGCAAGGGGAAGCTCCACAGAGACTTAATGGGACCCCACACCTGGAGCCCAGTGGGCAGTCTGATCTGCCCACAGCCCCAGCAAGAACGGCAAAGCCTGGAGCCCTGGTGGGCGGTCTGATCTGCCGGCAGCGTCAAAGCCCTGGCTATCTCAGTCCCTTGGCCACAACGTAGGCCCCAGGCCTCTGATCTGCCTACAGTGGCCACAAGAGCAAAGGCCAGGCCATGGTAGCAGCAGTCGTGTTTCCCTGCTGTCCAACCCCATAGCAGGAGGAGACCCAGGCCCGGTAGCTTCTGACTGCACCCCACTCTCCTTTAAGGTTGCCCAGGGAGAGCAAGTGGTCCTGGGAGGCACCCCGCAGATTGCATCAGCATGGTTTGACTGGGAGCCTCCAGCAGCCCCGGAAAGAGGAAGCAGACCAGAACAGCACTGTAAGGGCTCAGAAAACTAAACAACTGTCATTAGAACTGCAGCCCGCAAAAGAACTCAAGAACTTACGTACTAAACCTAAACAGGGCGATAGCCTGCTAAAATAGAAGATTCTTTGATCGAGTCCAGTAAAGACCACAGTGTCCAAGATATTTATTAAGCATTAGGAAAACCACAATTTGAATGAGAAAAGGCCTTCAACTGAGGCCAATACTGACTTTGAATCAGATATTGGAATTATGTCATGGGCATTTTAATTCAGCTGTCATAAAATTGTTCCAACAGTTGGTTACAAATTTTTTTGAAACAAATGAAAATAAAGATCTCAGCAAAGTAGAGCCAAGAGCATTTCCTAATGAATCGGAATTGGAATATGAAAGAAAGGGATCAAGAATGGCACTGTAAGTTTTGGCTAAGCAACTGGAAGGAAATGTGGAGTTGGCCTTCAACTGAGAGCGGGAGAAAGGAGATTGAAAAGCTCAGGAGTTCAGTTTCAGACGCGTTGAGGAATATGCTAGTGCTTTTCTCTTCTTGTCCTCTGTGCTCTATTACGTGCCTTATTGATTAAAAGGACGTCCTTATATAAGCACTGAATGGTTGATCCATCCCTGGGAAAATAAGCTTTACTGACTTGCATATTCCTTGTAACATGCAGGGACTGTGCTTTCTTCTCTAACTTGAAAAATTCCCCAACTGTTTGAATATTTGATTTTACTGTCTTGCCTAAACAGTTTATATCCATTTATTTTATACTCTTATTTTCTGATTTTTTTCCCCTAAAGCAGTTATTTTCCAGATCATCTCCTTTAGACCTAGAAACTGATTACTACAATTATGATTCAAAACCTATTTTCTGCTGCCCTGCACTGAGCTGGGTAATTAGGTATAAATACTTATTTCCTTTGTATGCTTTGCCTTTTTGTTAACTGTTTTTTGGTTAAAAGACCAGAGGTTACATTACTGCCTGCTGAATATGCTTATATTAACAATTGTAAAAAGTAAATTACTTTTGGGAGTATTAATGAATAGACATTTAAATTGCATAGTTAAATCTTTCCCATCCTTTACTAAGCAAACGATTGGATTATGTCCCTCTCTGTAAGAATTTAAACAACAATTTATATGCCCTGTGGGGGTGGGAGAATATTTGTTTCAGAGAAAAGTTTGAAATCTGAATGGCTCACAGCCGTTACAACTTCGTAATCTGTAGTGTGATTATAAATATTAAAATTTAGATCACCAGTCCAACATGCTTTTCAGGGAACACTAATGATTAATAGGTGCAGCGTGGGTGATGGGAGTAGAGGGTGGAGGAGAGAGATGCTGGTTTTCTGACTGCAAGACTTAGCTGCTGATGCGTAATGTGAATATGGGGTGGAGATGGGGGGGTAAGTATTTTATATGGTGTTTGCCAAACTTGACAGAGAAACTTTTATTCCTTAAGGACTCCACAAGATGACAATTTGGGAAACCCCAATTTAGAGTGTTAGCTAAATCCATTTTTGTTTCTGTGCTGCTATATAAACTTTGCATAATCCTATCGCAACTAAAATGAATAATAGAGAAAGAAGAGTATTGCTGGCTTTGAGGTTTCTTTCACTAATTTATGTAATTTAAATAAGATAATTTAATTTTATTTAATTCAGAATTAAGTCTAACTTGTTATGGGATCCATAAAACGTGGTTCTGAGTGGGAAGAGATTAACAGTACTCTACAGAAGTATCACTGAAAAAAAATCTATTAATGAAGATAATAACTTCTGGGCCAAGTAATAGCTAATGGCAGGCAACGTACTGTTACAGGAATAATGGAGCATTTGGAGAACTATGTTAGTGGCATGTTAACAGAACACACTCCTTTTATAAATATGATTTACAATATAACCTCATTCTGCCAGCCTTCCATAATTTTTAGTTTCAGTTTATAAAGACTAGAGTATGCATGTGGAATTTGACAATTGTGATATATTTAGTACTAGTTATAAGTAAGTTCACAAACACTAGTAGAAAGTTAGGAGCAAGTTTCCAAAAAGTTGTTTCTCTAGTAAATATTTTCTTTGGGTCAGTTTCCGATATATAGTCCCACATTTAGAAAATAACAATGAGAATGTGCAGCTCTTAATTTAAAAATGAAAATTAGGCTTTTCTCGTGCCTGCCTTGAGAGGAATGGGGAGAATCTCTGTTCACGCCTAGGGCAGACACTGCTAAGCACTTGGTCTTTGTGTCTGTATTTCTATAACATGCTGTGTTCTAAGAGCTTGCCTTTAGCACTTTTTTTTTTTTCTTCCTGGGCTTCTTGCAGTCTTTCTGAGGGGATGTTTCCAGCAGTTCCTTTTGGAGAGATGGGATTTGTTCATGTTTTCTGGGGCTCTGTCTTCTGTCCTTTTTGGTCTGTACTCTTAAGTAATCTCGTTCACATGAGTGGCTTAAGTTACCTCCTGTTCACTCATGCCTCCTTAGGGAGTACAGAGATTGAGAACTTAGATCTTGGAGTTCCGTATGTCTTGGTTCCAGTCCTGACTCTACCGTTCACTGTCTGGCCCTAGACAACCTGTCTTGGCCTCAGTTTTCCTAATCTATAAAATGGGGCTAATAGTTTCTTAGCTGTTATGATAATGATATACATTACAAATGAGAGAATCCATGTAAAATTCTTAGCAGCATGCTTGGCAAATGGTATGCTATTAGTGGTGTTTGGTGTTGTCTTCATCATCTACATGTTGACCCCTTCCTTGAACTTTATATTCCTAATTGTCCTCAATAGATCTCTGCCTGGACAGTTCATGGAAATCAATATTTTGGAAATCAGCATTTTCAAAACACAACCATGTGTCTCCTTTCTCAGTTTTCTACTAGCTCTTTGTCATCTAGCCCCTCTCATTTGATGGTATCATTATTTACTCAGTAACTGTTGCCAGAAATCTGTAAGTCATTCTTTCATCTGACTCCCAAGCTGATCATTCACTACACTGTCAATTTTTTAAAAAGGTTGATTTATTTATTTGAGAGAGAGAGAGTGCACATGTGAGCACAGGGGGAGGGGCAGTGGGAGAGGGAGAGGGTCCCAAGCAGACTCCGAACGGATCACGGAGCTTGACACGGGGCTCGATCCCACAACCCCAAGATCACCACCTGAGCCGAAACCAAGAGTCGGTCTCTCAACCGACTACACCACCCAGGCACCCCACTATGTTGTCCATTTTTTAAGTATATCCATTACCTCTGCTGTATTGGTTTAGGTATTTGTCACCTCATGCTTGGGCTAATGTAGTAACTTCCTAACTGGCCCCCCACTCATTCTTCAACCCATCTTCCACTCTTATGCCTTTCTCCCTTTCCATCTACTTCTCACCCTCCGATTTTTCACACCAGCAATACCAAATAGCTTGTAGTATCCAGCACAAACCATGTTTTGACTTGGCTATAGGCTGTTCCACATGCTCCTACTAATTTCTGGAGTTTTCCCTTTTCCCTTGTTTTGGCCTGAAAAATATATTCATCTTTCCAAGCCCTCCTAAGTGTTTCTCTCTCATAGAGGCTTCCTCTGACTACCTTCCTATCCATAGATAATAAATTCTTGGTATTATACTGTTTTAAACTGTTTTAATTCCTTGCTCTATAACATCATACTAAAATCATGTATACGTACCTACAGCAGTCTGTTAAGATTAGGTGTTTCCTGAGGACAAGAATTGCTTTATTAATCTTTTGTTTGTTTGTCCTTTGTATTTTTTTTTTTTTTGGTCTGACTTCTATGGGGGAAAATGAAGTAAATGAATAAAATGTGCAAATATCAATAGAATTTTTTAATGTCAGTGCTTCAATATCCAATATCTTGAAAGTTCTTTATATATTTGGCTAAAAAGGCCAAAATATGTACAACCAAGTCAGAATTCTTACTTTGGGGTGTGTTTATTTTACAGTTCTTCATATGTTTTGTTTTTTTTCTTTCCTTCCTCCTTTGTTCTTCTTCCTGTTTCTTATCTGTTAAAATGTTTTTTCTCCTCTTAGCAAGTCTCCTTGATAATGCTCCATCATATATGAGCTAACAAAGACTGAGAGTCCATATCCTTCTACTATGGCCCTAACCCTAGCCCTTCAAACACATGCGCTCACACACGCACACAAAAACATATCAATCAAGTTTTCCAGAACTTTTGTATTAGCAGAAATTGCTATGTATACTCTGCAGTCAGTCCTCTCATAAAAGTCGTGAATATATCCTGTGTAGATTCAGACCAGAGAACGGTATGCTACATAAAAATCTAAAGAAAGGTCTACTAAACTTTTCACTGAACTGTCAGGGTTTGACAGAGGTACTAATTATGCCAGTGTAAGTACTGAGTTAGTAAATGTGAGCCTTAACTCTTTGAATTACTCAGCTTTGACAGTTGAGCTAGATTTGTTCTATTAGCTTATTGGAGATCCACTGCCAAATTTTCAGATAAGCCTCCCCTTTCTATTTTCAAGGAACAATGTGAATTATATATACTGAGCTTAATTCTTCGAGGTGTCAGGTCTTTAATTGTTAACATTTAGGCAACAGTTCCTGAGACTTTCATTTTAATAATTTTCCACCTCGTGTGTTTCTTTAGTAGTAGCTATGATTAGGCAAGCTTTTTTCCTTTGGCTTAGTCACTGTACCAAAAGTAACCTAGCTTAGTGTGTATATTTAAGTGTGTGTGTTGGAGGTGGAAGTGGTCCCAGATGTATTAAAGAGAAAAACAAATGTCAGAACAACATTCTTGTCCTGTCGCTGCCAGAAAGCTACAGGAAGACAGGGAAAGAATTTCTTGATGGAATGATATGTATGAGCTCTTCTTTAGTGGCAATGACTAACAATGTTGAAATAAGAGGAAAAGACCACTGTTAACCTTTATTAAGTATTATTTTTATACATATTTATGTGTCTATAGAATGTAGTTCTTAAGACTTTATTCTTACTGCTAAGGTCATTATTATTATAATTTTAGTTTGTTTCCTTTTTACCCACCCACCATTTATTTCCCTCAACTAACATCAGAACTATATAGAAAGTCGTAGGAAAATACAGACTTAGTAAGTTGGTAGAGAAATAGCTGGAAGTACCATGATTTTTCAGTTTTATATACTTGTGTAAAATTGTGTGGTATGATAAATTTATCAGTGGCTTTGCTTATTCCTAGTTTATTTTTGATCCATTGTTCACCAAATACTTATTGAGGGTCTAATATATACCACTAATATATCAAGTATTCATTGAGTTTATATTCTAAAACCATGTAACATAATACTACATATTATAAATATACATTACATAATACAAATACACATGTGTGTATATGTGTGTATGCATATGCACACATGCACACACACAGGTGATATTCATTATTTGCAGTAGTTATGTTCTATGAAGTTGCCCCAAACAATGAATGCTGAACCATTGCTCCTAGGGGAAATACGGGGTTAGGCTCCTGTGAGCCTTTGGTCACCTATTCAACTAATCAATACATAACCTGTCTTATGTGTATTTTTGTTTGAAGATACCTTATTTCATATATATTGTTGATTAACATTGAATCATGACTAACAGCTCTGTAATTCATTCTTGAATGAAACTTATCTCACACTCCTGTTTTCTCCTTAAGGCACAGCACAGCCTTCTTGCACTTAGGAATTCTAGACAGCCCTTCAGCATTACCCTTGAAGGCCATTTGAAACAGTGAAATGACCAACAAAAAGCACAAAATGTAAAAAATGCACTAAATGGCAAAAAGAACACTTGCTTACAGTATGACAGCTGAAACAAGAAGGCTGAGTGTCACCTTGTTCACCCTTAGCTGGTAAATCCACCTCAGGTGACTCAAATATTTCACTGTTAGGCATGTGTTTGTAAATGAATGTGAAAGTGCAATGGGTATTGATTTTGGGTTACAAACAAATGTTAGTGACTTCGTAAATACTCTACAAATAATGAAGATTGACTGTATATCAACTGTGTGTCTCTGTGTGTGTGTAAATATATATATATATATATATAAAATAGGAATTTGTTATTGGTCTTCCCTTCCCCCATCCGTTTCTTTCCTTTTGTGAATTGGTGGTTCTTTTTCTTCATGGTTTTCCTGTATCCTTGTGGTACATTGCATAATTTGTTATAATTTGTTATAAAGCAGTGAAGCTTTTAGGCCTGTGATATGGACAAGAAGTTCACACTGTTACAATGAACATAATTCATATTAACTTTATAATGTACATTATATTATAAATGTATAGGTCTTTCCTTCTGGTCTGGTCATATACACAACAGAAAATCTCCTGCCTGAAGAATAAAGATCTAGCTTCTAACGTACCCCGTGTTAAGTGGGAAAGGAGTGGGGCTGTCTGCATTCAGTTTTGTGTGTGATCACTCAATCCCCTCGCTTTCCATTTACTAGTACCCACTCCCTCAGCTGCCTTGTGCCCCCAGTTCTCAGACCGTATGTTTTACCCTCTCTGGAGCGGATCTCTGATAGAATGACAGTAGGGCAGTTGCACAGTGAGATGGAGTATGGGTATGGAGGGGACCTAGGACTCTAACTGCTTCTCTAGAGATTTCATTCAAACCTGCTCTTTTAGCCCCACCCTCTTAACCTCTAGTTCCAGGGTTTTCTGGTGCTGCCAGTTCGAGTGTCTTGAGGATTCTGGAGTGTAAATGGGTTTGGTTTATGAACTTCCCTTATTTTCTCTTTGCACTTCAGCTTTCCTGACTCTGGTAAGTCAGTTACCAGTACTCCATCTGCTTTTTTGCTTCCCAGTTTTGAGTATTACTATTGTCTCCTCTAGTTTCTCCTAGTCCTTTTTAAAAAGTGATAGCCCCTTTGGTATCATTTTAGTGGAGTCTGGGGAGGAAAATAAATTAGATGCATTGTGTTAAATCTGTTATCCTGGAAACCAACATACTACTGTATTCTAGCCTGATTTCAGCCTTAATTCTAGTCTCCTTTTTTGATGTATTTACTTTTGGTATCAAAATTGTTCATTTCCGGGGCGCCTGGGTGGCTCATTCGGTTAAGCGTCCAGACTTTTGATTTCAGCACAGGTCATGATCCTCAGGGCCCTGGGATCCGAGCCCCATGTGAGGCTCCCCACTCAGCAGGGAGTCTGCTTGAGGATTCTGTCCCTCTCTCTCTGCCCCTCCTCTCTCTCTCTAAAATAAATAAATAAATCTTTTTTTTTTTTTTTCTAATTACTCATTTACTAGACTTCACCGTTTTCACATAAATGAAAACCAGAGGAGGGGACTCTGTGACTGCATAGAGATGCAGCTGCATTTTTTTCAGAACCTTAGGGCGTGGTTCAGCAATATTTATTCATTTACAACGTATTCTGGTTTCATTGACCTTTTACTTAAAAACAGAATTCTGTGAGCCACCACTTGCCTCAAATGGAACCTTGGGCCACCATCCTAATCAAAATTCATTATTCTAAAAGAGTTGAACAACGAACTTCTATTTTATCAAATCTGAAATGCTATCAGTTATCTTATTTCATTTTGATTAACATGCTGGCGAGAATTAGTAGAAATATGAGAAAGATAATAGCTTATGATGATGGCTTACAATTATCTGTCAATATTTTCCCGCACTTAAATACTCAAGAATCAGCTGTACCATAGACTAAAAAAAATGTAAGGATGAAATTTCAAGCATGGAAGAGTTTCTGCCAGATGAAAGACCAGAGTTAGGCCTCCTGAATTTTTGCTGTTCCTTAAAGTATCATTCAAGTATAATTAATAAGTATAAAACATTTGCTGTATTACACACACTTTATTACACCCTCTCTCTTTTTTTAAAAAGATTTTGTTTATTTGAGAGCGAGAGCACAGCAGAGGGAAGCGGGCAGAGGAGAGGGAGAAGCAGACTCCCCTCTGAGCAGGGAGCCCAATGTGGGGCTCAATCCCAGGACCCCGGGATCATGACCTGAGCTGAAGGCAGATGCTTACCAATTGAGCCACCTAAGCACCCATACACCCTCTCTTCTTAAGATGGGAAACCAAGCCAGAGTATTTCATTGCCTGCCCATCTTCAACCTATCAACCAAATACAGGTACTCAAATCCTGCTAAAATTACAGACACTGTAGAACTGTTTAAATTTTTATCAGTTTCCACTGAGTTCCTGGTTGATGGATTAAATCATAAGAAAAACTTAAAGTATATTTCAGTGTCTTTTTTGTGTACTAAATTTGATTCACTTTTCCTAACTCCTGGGTGCCATTGAGGGACAGACCCTTGAAATGCTTTACTTTTTGACCTGTCTTCAGGTCATCAGTAGTTCATAAATAAACTCATTTTCCTTGCCTCACGTTAAAGAATTAACCTAAAGAATTGAGGATTGGGTTTGATTCTTATTCATAGACTTAAATGCCTTTTTTTCCCCCTCCAAATTCCCTTTTCTCTCCTTTTTCTGTAGCTTTCTTCATTTTACTATTACTAAACGGGCAGGGAGAGAAGCTATGCTTTTCTTCCCCACCTTCCGTCAAACAGGAAAAAGTAAAAAATTGACTCTATTGTCCACGAATAATCCCACATACAGATCTTGGAAAATTTCCAAAAAGATGTAGTGAATTGAAGCACACTACACAAATGTATATATAAATAGAATCCCAAGGGTTTAAGTGTAGACAAAAACCAATTGCATTAAGCATTTCCTGAAATTGCTTGCTGTTGTCAGGATAAGTAGTCACAAGTAAGACATCCAGATTGAGAATGAAAACATTTGTGGGAGTCCTGCCTCACTTTGTTATATTGTCTTTTCTTAGAGCAAAATCTTTGAGCAGTTTGGAGTGGTTATCGAAAAGGTCCTCTTTCTTCGGAGTTCTGAAAGGCACATTATTACCATTTTTTTCCCCTTCCAGTTGAGCTTTGTTAGGTTGCTTGAAGAGAGAGATTTGAAGCTGTGGTGTAATTGATGTCCAGAGGATGGCATGGTGAAATCAACTAACTCATATGATGATAGAGAAATGTTTAAGTCTGGTTGGATTATATTCTTTTCCTTGTCCCCTAATTGAGAGAAAGACAAACTTCTTTAAGGCAAGCAGGATCACAAGTGCCCCAGTGTAAATGAAGAATTTATCTGCTGATTGACCACAGGCATCCACATGTACTGTTTTTACCTGTAAAAGCTAATGAGGGTGTTATTTTTCCTGAGGGGTGTGGATACACATGTGTATACCTGTACATGTATTTAATGACTTAAACTATAATCGCCTTCAGATAAATTGCTATAGTATATTGCTATTGTATTCTGTATTCAGTAGTCAAATCAAGCATGTACATGTGCAAATCAGTCTTTGGATTATCTTTGGTTCAGATACTTATTTGATAACTATTAATCACAAGGAACTGTGTGTGCCCACGTGTGTGTGTGTGTATGTAATGTGTGGGCCCAGGCTTTGGTGTTTTATCAATCATCCCAGTTGATTCAATTGTATGGCCAGTATTGAGAGCCACCAATTTAGGGAGAGAGCTGGATGACTCAAATGAGTAGACCAGTGGCTCTCCTGGTAGAAAGTACTTCCTTTCCTATGGCAATTTAGAACAATTCTAATTTGAAGTTTAAGGAAGATAGATTTCTCTGTAACTTCTTGTGAGACCAGAGAGGTTGTTGGAGGCAAAGTCATGCAGGGTTTCTCTTTGTGAAGTGCCTCTTTGAGTCTTTTGGCTAGATTTTACTGGGGTGTATTTTCCTATTTGGGAATTATTTGTGTTTCAGTTCCTAACCAAATATATGCATTGAAAATACCTTCTTTCTCTGGGATTTTGAGCAGAAACATAAGATCAGATTTTCATTTTTAAAACGTGACTCCAAGAATGAGTGGGAGAAACAAGTTCTTCAGTAGTCCCGGTAGAAGATGGTAGTAGCTTAGACCTAGGGTATGATACATGGAGAGAGGTGGACAGGATTGAGAGAGATTTGAGAGAAAGTCGGTAGGACTTGTTAGTGAAGATTGGATAGGTGGTGGGTAAGGTGAAAGGGGAAGGGGTCAAGAATGACTTAAGTTTCTGCTTCAAAAGATAAAAGCTGTGTGTACTACCACTGTGATTTCTTACTTTAAGATGTTGATAATATATGTAGAATATTACAAAAATTATTTGCCTTGAATATAAGAATACTAGTTAGAATTTTCAGAAGTCATTTTGAAATGCAAATTTGTTTTCTGGTTTAATAACTTGAACGTATGACTTATTTACCTCATGAATTATAGAAAAATATGTTCAGAATTACTTATTTTGAATAAATTTTGAACTTATTTACTTAAGTTTGATCTTAAACTACAGCCAGTGAAACATCAGTAAGATGTTGATGGGGACATTAATTAAAAACAATGAATTAAACTTGGCCTTTTTTTTTTTTTTTTAAAGGGGTCCCTTCAGTGTTGTACGACGATGTATCAACAGAGAAACTGGGCAACAATTTGCTGTAAAAATTGTTGATGTAGCCAAGTTCACATCAAGTCCAGGGTTAAGTACAGAAGGTAAGAGATGGATTTCAAGTAAGTTATTTGATGTCTGGCTTTATTTCATCTCCAAAATCCATTTATCAACCTAACTTTCATCTGGGGGTGGGGAAGTGATGGGTATAATGTAGTGGGAAATGGGTGGAGACAGTTTAAATTCTATTCTAGTTTGTCAATTCTAGAACATGGTATTTGAAAGATAGCTAGAGTAATTTACAGTTATAGAACCACGTAAGATTGCTCTAGGCCTATGGTTTTTGATTAGAAGAAAGTGAAATCTGGATATATATTTTTTTGTAGGGTCTAATTTTGACTCCTGTGGTACGGAAGATGGGATGGGATGGGATAGGAAGGGAGGGAGGGGAAATAATGACAAAGATATGATAATTGCAGGTTCAAAAGAAACTAAGATGAATTCCTTCCAAATCCATAACTTACCACCTTTAGGTTTATGGTTAATAGGACTAAAAGACTCCTATATCACATTTGGCTTAAGTCACTGAGAGTGTATATGTAAAAATTTGAAAGATCAGTAGGTTATGACATGCAGGACTTAAACTTTGGTTTTAAGACCTTGATATGGTTAATTACATTTATATGTAAATGTTTTTAAACAGTAGGTAAGCATTTTAAAGTTACTTATTTTTTATACAGTTTAACTCCTAGCTTCACGTAGCCACAGTTCGCATGTGCTCCTACTTCAGCTGGCACAATTGATTATATTTATTTTTCTAATTAGCCTGTCTTCTAAATTCAGGCTTTTTAACAGTCCAAGAACAATGCAGTTGAAAGTTGAAGTTGGAAAAGCTAAGGCAGAGTAGCCTATTTATATTTTATCCAGTTATCCTAACTTTGGAAAGTAGAAACCCACATACTGTAAGCTAAACAGAGCTTAATCTGTTTCTGTAGATCTTTTTTCAGGATCATTGCTTTTAAATACTTTTTTAACAACCTTTGAATTATTATTATTATAATCCATATAGGTGATTATAGAAGATTCTTAGAAGCCGTAACTCAAGAAGCACTGATTTTTTAAAGTGCTTTAATCCTTAAAATGTTATGGCAAGGGGCGCCTGGGTGGCCCAGTCGTTAAGCGTCTGCCTTCGGCTCAGGTCATGATCCCAGAGTCCTGGGATCAAGCCTGCATTGGGCTCCCTGCTCTGCGGGAAGCTTGCTTCTCCCTCTCCCACTACCCCTGCTTGTGTTCCCTCTCTCGCTGTGACTTTCTCTGTCAAATAAAATCTTTAAAAAAAAAATGTTACGGCAAGATTCAGAGGTCTTAGATCTCATGGTTTCATTCTCTGGAATTGGCTGTTATTACTTTTTAATATAAATTATTTTATAAATTTAGCAGAATTTAAAATTTACTTCCAAGCAGGCTTTGCAACTTAATTATGTTTCCTAAAACTTAACTGGATTTAAGTTTAATATACTGTATTTGATTTTCTGTACCTCAGTTGTCAACTAATAAAACCTTCCTGGGTCTTGAACATAGTTTATTAAACCTATAGATGTGTTGAACCTTTATTTCTCTTAAATGTTCTGTTACTGTTGATGAACTTAGTAAGAGTCTAGCTTAAAATCACAAGTCTAAATCAGTTACTCAGTATACCAATTTTTATATTGATTTAGCTCATTGTTATACCTAATTCTGAATCTCTCCAGGCTAAAGACATTTTTAGGGAGGCAATTGATTACTTTCTCAGTTTGCTGAGGTTGTTTATTGACAGATTTTTTTCAGCAAGGGATCTCTGGTGCCATAGATTCAGACTGCTAGGCTGAACCTCTTTTTTTTTTTTTTTTTTTTATTGTCACCTAGTGAGGGAGTCAAATGCCAAACTTAATAAAAAGGAGGTGGGGGGAGATGGAGAGGGTTGGCATGTAGTCCATGTCCCTGAGTTTGTCTTGTCTTTACCTAATATATGGGAGCCTGTCACTGAAATTGTAGTTCATTCCTTCATTGTTTGGCATTGCTTTTGCTATATAAAAGTCTTCAAATCCTATTCTGAAGACAAGGCCAGGTCATTTCATTTATCCTATATGGTAGGGCCACAACCTATAGATATTAAATGATACCAGTTGAATTCTGTGTATTACTCATGACTTTATCTGGTTTTGATAAGAGTCCATTGTTACTCAGATGAAAATGTGCCACTTGTCCTTTATATTTATGGCACCAAAATGTAGTTTTCCCATCTTCTTTAGCACAGTGACCAAGAAGCAAAATCAAAATTCCATCTCCATTACCCCCCCACCTTTCCTTACTTCCTCCCTCCCCTTCCCTTCCCTTTCTTTTTCCTTCCCTTTCCCTTTCCCTTTCTCCATGCCTCCTTCCCTTCCCCTCTCCCTCCCTTCCTTCCTTCCAATGGTGTTCCCATATCCTCTTATTGCTCATGTTCACACTATCTTACTTTAACTTGGACACATCTTAAGATATATATAATAAATATTTTATTTATATAAAACCTCTGATTTTCCCTTCCCAATGTCTTTTAACTCCTTTCCAGTCACTGAAGGCAAAACATCTTATCCCTTTTGCCCTTCCAGTCCATTTACAAACTGTTAGGGCCCCAAAATGACCTCATTCATGGCTAAGTGTAGGAGATGCTATATTAAGAAGAAACATATTTTGAAGTGAAGTTTAACATAATAAAAAGGAATCCATAAGTTTAAATACCTAGAAATAGCTGTATTTACTGTTACATTCTCTTCTAATTAAGCCTTTCTCTCAAGCAACACATAATTTAAAATTTGTTTTATTTTTTATTCTTTTTCCATTTTTTAAAATTTATTATTTTATTTAAACTTTACTTAACATATAGTGCAATATTGGTTTCTGGAGTAGAATTCAGTGATTCATCACTTCCATTTTATTTTTTAATTTTTGTCTTTGTGGTTTGTTTGACCTTGTCATTGCCTCAATATTTTTTCCTGTTTTAGTGCATTTGTATTCAAATACATTATTGAGTAAAATGGGTTTTGTAAAGGGTCACCTAAGGTCCTAACATATGCTCTTTACTTGGACAGATCATTATAATACAAAGACAGATAAAAAGAGCACCTACTTTTTAAGAGGTTTACAGTTAAATAGACTTCAACTGCTGTTTCTAACATTGTTTTATAAGAACATGTAATAAATTCTAAATACATAACTTACAGATTAGCTTTTGAAATGAAATACTATATATTAGTTGGAGACCACTTGTATGTTTTAATATTTTAAATTCTTGATGCTCCACTGAAGATGTAACTATTTGAATATCTGTTTTCTGTTTTTCCCATTAAAATCATAATTTTTTTTCAGTAGGTGTTCTTAATTTACAGGTTATGGGGTATCCAAGAACCCCTTAAATTGTAAGCTCAATTACAGATACATGTTCATTTTCCTAGGAAGAAAGTCCATAGCTTTTATTAGATTCCTAAAAAGGCATATTATTCCTAACTGGTTCAGTTTCTTCTTTCACATGTATGAAAAAATGAAATTGATGCTTATGAACATGAGATGAATAACAAGTTTTTATTAAATGAAAGCTGGCTGAATTTATATTAGGATATTACTTCTGATCAGAGGATATTTTCATATGTACATACATAGCCTCCATTAATGAAATTCCTTGATGAATATCTTAAAATTTTAATTACTACACATTTTAACTCTTATCTCTCTTTATGTCTGCTAAACCACTAATTAAATTTGACTTTTTTTGTTTTGAAAATAGGTATCAAAATTAGGCAAATTGTTATAAGGAAATTTTAAGGAAGGTAAGATATATAGAATGGGAAACTGAATTGACAGTTCTGAGATCTTGAAGGAACTCAGTTCTTTATGGTTCAATTTTAAAAGTTCAAAATGGCAGTTTTTATTTTGGAAGAATATTGTCTTCTAGAAAGAATATAGATTGGGTTCCAGTTTACCTAGTCTCTAAGCGTATCTCATTCTAAAAGTCCCAGATAGCAGATGATGTCAGCGAATTGGAGGAGTAAGGACCTTTGACAATTCTCCTCTCTATAAAAGCAAGGGGAAAACTGGCAAAAATAGAATCAACTTTTTCAGAACTCTGGAAATTAACCAAAGGTTTGCAGTTATGCAGGAAGAATTTATTCAGGAAAAACTGCTGATTCTTGCTAAGAACAGTGAGCTTTGTGGCATTTTAACTTGCCCCATTCCCACCCCCCTCTCTCCAGTTCCATGGTAACCTTGAAAACAAAGAGTTCACAATCATGGTGAAAACCAGGAGCCTGGCAGCCACCAAAGGAAGCAGACTGGGATGGAATTCCTTGAAAGCCTCATGCCCATGAAATTGTCATTATCTGACCTGTCTGGTAGTTTCCTGGAAGGGACCCACTTGCAAGGCTTGTCTTTATTTGGTCTGACTCAGAGATTGCCTACTGCAAAATACCTTTTGCCTGGGGGCATTTGTTGAAAATTTTTAGAGGCAGTTTAACTTCACAGCTACCTGAGGTCGTAGAGTAACAGTTGGGGCAAACAAAAATCTAACCTAAAAGCTTAAAAAGAAAAAGTGGGTAGTGAGAGGTCTATAGGGGCTCTGAAAAAACAACAAACGTATTTGTGGGAATCAAGAAAGCCATGCACATGCATAGGACTGTGCACACACTCAGAAAAGACCTAACGAGACCTTAAGCTCTCAACTCTAGCCAACCTTGAGGCTGTGCCAATAGGAATTGAATGCTAAGGCAGAGTTGTCAATTTCCTGAGCATTGAAGGTATGCCCCAATACATACACAGCCCCTGCCTGAGCAACAACCAAACTAACCAAGCAGAGACTTAGTGGCCACACTCAACAAAGAATGCAGACTTTACAGAATTCATTCCAAAACCTTATCAAACAAATAAGAACAAAAACTGCCATGTAACAGCAAACCCGAGAGGAAGGGAGATTCTAACTTCCAGAGTTGACACATTATTTAAAACCTCTAGTTTTCAACAACAAAAAAAATTGAAACATACAAAGAAACAAAGTGGGGCTCATTAATGGGGAAAAAAGCAATCAATAGAA